ATCGCCCCTAGACCCTCAAAGTTTTGGCCTATAAGCCCTACCCTTGACTTTGGCCCATGCCCTTGCCCATTTGGCCTAATTGCGGAGTCTCTACTCATGAAGTAATAGGGGCCTGTGCAGCACCTTAAAACTGGAACTGATTTTCCTAGCCCATGGGGGGATAAGGAGGAATGAAAAAAGTCTATGGATGCCCCACCTATGATAGGGACTGAGATGCCCCGTGGCTTTAAGATCCCTACCTCTAAGGATAATTCCATTTCGTGTGGCCCAATTGGTGACATTTGAAACAAGTGATTTGGCCGGCCTGATAGGAAGCCCTGAAATTTCTCCCACCTTAGAAGAATTAATCATGGCCTTGATAGTTGTGGTCCTGTCCTTAGCACCCGTTTCCTGAATGCTCCTTGCATTTTCCACTTCCTTCTCGATGGCCATGGTCATCTCGACCATTGAGTCTAATTCTTGTAGGCAGTGGTCCATAATCTTTCTCCATATGGACAACTTCAACCAATCCTCAAACCTCCTTACCTTGGCCACGTAGTTGTCAACAAAATAGGCTAGTTCGATGAACTTAGCCATGTATTCCACCACTATAATAGTCCCTTACTTCAAATCCAAGAGTTCTCGGGCTTTTACTTGACGAACAGTTGAAGGAAAGTACTTGCCCATGAAGAGCTCATGGAACACTCCCCACTTTATTGTCTCTATGTTCTTTGAGGCCTTTGTCTAATCCCACCATAGATGGGCTTCTCACTCAAGCTAGAACGCAACTAGCCTTATCTTAGTGGCATCAGATGTGATCTCCATAGCCTCCAAGATATTGTCCACTTGTTGGAACTAATGGTGGGCTACCATCGGGTCTGCCCCACCCAAAAAGGTTGGTGGCTTATGTGCCTTAAACCCGTGGAGGTTGTTTGAGCCTCCTTGGCCTATGTTGGCATTGGCTTGCATAAAGGTGGCAGTCGTTGTGCCCATAGCCTTCATGAAGGCTTGTTGATTAAAGGTCGATGGTGGTTGGTTGTTGTTCCACCCACCTCCTATACTATTCCGGTGTCCTCTTCCTTTACTTGCCATCTAACAACACGTAAGATAGCAATAGAAGACTAACATAGTATCCCAAAGTTAGTGATCAAAGTCAAAACATTGAGATTTCCTCTCCTTGTCTCACTAGTACGAGGTTTGCCACCCACTAGTAGACACCTTAACCATGAAACTTCCCGTTCTTTCTTTTTTAGCACCCAATTTTATGTTTTCTAACCCTAGTGTCTCATTTTCATACGCATAGAATCATGCATATAATTCACATAACACATACCATGTAGCATTTAATGCACACAACATGTAATGCATAATGGATGCAATGGCCTAAATCCACACCCCGCAAGCCCTAGGTACATGGAGAATCTAGGCTTTAATACCAAGCTACCGCCAATGTAAAACCTATAAATATTTAAAATTTTATTGTGAAGGGTAAAATGGTAATTAGTTGTCATAATACGGGTTAAAAATTTGAATTATTCTAGAACTTAAATGAAAAAATGGACCTCATTGTTGGATTCTTCTTACAAAATCTTGTTACCCAATTCATTTTTGTTGAATTCTGAAATAGTCAGAATTTTTATGTTTTACAAGCGATCGGGTGTCGTGCGACTAAAATAAACATGAACAAGTTTTGATTGCGAAACACTTAAATAATTTTAAGTTTGTTAAAATAAAATATATTGAACATAACACAAGATGATTTTAATTGATATGGGATCAAATTGGACCAAACAAAGGAGGCACGTGTGGTGCATTGCGAGCCAAGTTAATCGGGAGAATAAAAGGGGAAGAAAATATGATTTTCTTACCATTTTTTTAGAAAATTTTTGTAATAGAGAGATGGAGAAAGAATAAAGATAAACTCTCCCCCATTTCTTCCTTTCTTTTATATAGGGTGACCCGTTCGTCCAATTGCTTTGGGCCATGAACAAATATTTTTCTACTCATTGAGAGCTACGAGTACGTACCAAAGATCATAGGTTTTGCCAAAGTCTCAAGAACGGGATTGTTGGGATCAAAGCCTTGAGGCTTGCGTTGGGTTTCTTGGAGCTTCTACTAGTGTATTATGCTTCAAGAGGTAGGATTCCTTTCCTAATTAGGTTCAACATAGGGTTGTATATGGAATGGGTAGCAAGATTGGAGATGAAATCTCTTGTATAATGTACTCCTAGTGTAACTAGAGTATGAAGAATGGGTATAGAAACATGTTGAACTAATTTTGCATGATTAGGTTTGTTGAAAATTGCTTGTTTGTAATTTCTTGAAATATGTGATGAAATAGGCATGCTATGTGTTTACATAAATCTTATGCCTTGTCGGTGTTTGATAAAATGCCCAAAAATGATTTAAGTATGTTATTTGAATGATATAATTGACAACTGGGAAATGTTGATTAACATGGAATATGTTCATTTATGTTGAACATGCTTTGGTAATTACAAGTGTACACTATAACGAGAAATATCATATTCATGAGCATGTGACATGAGTGTGGGTGTTTGTGCATGTATTGATCAAATATTGTCCTCGGTGGGTTGATACGTGGGCACAGGAAAGTTGGTCCTAGATTTGACTGAGTCGCACGTATTTCATTGAAAAAAGGGCTGGGGTTAGCAAGATGGGCTAAATTCTCCATCGGGTGCAAGACTGGGTAATTTTGGATATGCACTGCATTGATATTAAGTCCACAAAGTGTGTCGGCGTATGCGGAGCCATTGGTGGAAGTCCATAGATGTCGTGTCGGTTGGGTACCCCTTGGTGGAAGTTCATAAATACCTACCCTAAGAAAGGCCTCAGGATTTTGTAAATTGGGCATTAGATGTTCAACATCAATGGTAGGGTTTGATATGTCTGGTTGCATATGCATGGCATTACCTGTGGTATTGGAGTTGGTGGAGGGCTCGAGTTGCATTACATGTGTAAGTATCATCTCTTGATATGGCATGACATTGTGAAATCCATTATGAATTCTTAAATGGATGTTTGTTTGATTGTTGAATGGTATGTGAATATTTCATATGCATCTGGGATGGGGAGTATCCTCTTTAGGAAATACCCTATTGAGTGTGGCTCACCCTTTATGAGAACAATGTTTCAAGTGTAGGACAAACACCGATGGACAGGTCTCTCATGGGTCCTTGTTGACGAAGAAGCCAACACATGGCTTCTAAATTACATTTTTGTAATTGAGTGTATAATTTGAATTGAACTTGTGAAATTGTATAAAGAGTTATCTAATGAACTCTTATGGACTAGAATTTATGTAAATGAATGTACGAAAGTGTATGGAAAATGATTGGATGGTTCAAGGTTGAAGATTGTAAAGAATTGGGGGAAATCTGGGCCTAAGTATCGGTACCTAAGTGATTAAGTACTGGTACCACGCTATTCGATGACCCAGGTACCGGTACCTAGACTGACGGGTACTAATACCTAGATTTCAATGGGCTCAGGTACTGGTACCAAGGCCCAAGGTACTAGTAACTCGATGGACATTGGACTCAAGTACTGGTACCACGAGATATAGGTACGACACCTAGCAAACAGTGGGCTTAGGTACCAATACCTAAATGATTAAGTACTAGTACCTGGTAAAAAGAAGGGACCTGGCAGATAGAAGGCTCAGGTACCGGTACCATGTGTAAGAGGTACTGGTACCTCTTCCTTAAATTTTTAAAAATTAAACATAACTCTGCCAAGCTGTTAGATATTGAGCCCTTGTACTTATATGATGAAATTGCTTAAATATTAAGTCCCAATTGATGGGGATAGACCTTGGAATGGTCAAGTGGTTGACCTATGTGCATGTTATGCATTTGGGAGTGCTCTAGTACAGGGAGACCCTGCCTTAACTCTATGTTGGTTGCTTTCCCGATGAAGGAGATGTGATGACGTGGTGTCGAGTTATGCGGCAGTCATGAGTACTTCCGTAGGTTGATGTGTGATCAACAGGTTGAGAAAGAACCCCCAAATTTAGGGGCATCACAAGAATCCCTTGGTTGATTTACTTACTGGTAAGGTATTTAGTGTTAAAGAGGGTGAAAAAGATAGAATTTGAGGTAGGAATGCTCTTTTGAAAATATCAAAGCATCTAGAGATGCTGTGAAGGATTATGTTTTCAAGAGGGTTTCCCTTTTGTGAGAGACAAAAATGAATATGCAAGAGTGACAACACACTGTGGTGTTGATGGTTGTCCATGGATGATACATGCTTCTCCTTTGCCTAATATGGTGACATACGAGATAAAGACGTATAGAAGTGTTCATAGCTATGTGAAGAATGCAAAACCCAACGAAGCAAATGCGCCATGGATCATAAACAAACTTATGAATGTTTTGAGGGCAACTCCTAACATGACAATCACAGGATTGAGGAAAGAATTGAAAAAATATGGAGTGAATCCTCTAAGAATGCAGTTATACATGGCAAAAAAAAGGCCTTTGCAATGGATTGAAGGAAAAGGCAAAATATTGACGATTTTTGTGATGCATGTTACTCCAAGGACACCTATCTCAAAGCTTATGGTGAAATGATCCATCCCATTTCAAATGTCAAATTATGGCCCACAATCTTGGGATTATCCCCTCTAAACTTCTTCCTCAACCTCTAAGAAAGCTCCCTAGAAGGCCAAGAAAAAATAGAAAAAGACACATAGAAGAAGAGAGGTGGATGAAGCAGCCCTATCCACTTAATCTAAAAGATCATGCATTGTTAGGTGTGTTAATTGCAAGGTGTATGGCCACAACAAGAGGACTTGCCGAAGGGGACCAATTAGAGTGAGGAAGCATAGAAAGACAATGGTAATCTAATACTCTTTTCATTTACTTTATTTTAAGAATAATTTTTCAATTTTTTATTCTATTACAACATAAATTTTCTATATGTAGGTGGGTTTAGGTGGTAATGTTGGTGAAGGTGACAGTATTGGAGCTAATAGTGGAGTTGATACTAATACAGCTGATATGGTATGTAGTTATTGTCTCATTTTCTAGTTTTTAATTACTAGTGTGGTAGTTGCAAGGAGTAGGATCTAGTTCTCATGTTGTTTCTCAGCCTTCTCAAGTTGGATCTAGTTCTTATTTTAATTCTTAGCCTTCTCAGGTGAAGTCCAATTAATCGAAATACACAATAATGTCATATTCTCAGCGTGCTAATAATGTCATCTTTTTTATATCTTAGACTTGACAGAGTGGATCTACTAGAAATGTCACAAATGTTTAGCTTAATAAGAGCATCTCAGCTTCCTGACAAGGCTTGGAATTAAAAGTGTAGCATCTTTGATGAGAAAGAAGGTAAATAGACACATATAAATAGCCAACTTCATAACATTCTTGCTTAATTATAACATTCCTATGTAATTATAGAGAGGAGGAAAACATAAAGATGGCTCTTCAGAAAGTGATAGCAAAGGTTTGAAGTAGGGAGAAAGTAGCAAGGGGAATTAAGGTGCTCCTCCTAACAACAATGAGAAGTCTCAATATGCGATGTTTTAGGCATTGCAAACTCTTTCTTTGGGTGGTCTATTAGGTAGTGGATGTTCTTGGGTGGCAGACTATGTTGGACATGCTGTTGTCGAATTAGCATGGTATATAATTTTGGTTCTTTTGGGTTGTAAATGAAGTTTTATTGTATATTTTGTTAATTTAGTTTGGGGGGTACATTTTGGTGGCAAGAAAAACATAGCTTTTGGGATGTTTTTTGATCTATGTAAATGTTAAACATATGTGGTATAGTCTGATGGCATGTTAGGCTTTTGTTGGATTAAATGGCTTTTCAGAATATATTTGCTTGCCTTGGTTGTGCCATTTTAAATTGCTTACTCCATTTCTAGTATGTTGTAAAGTAATAAAAGGCAAATCAATGAAACTATTTGAACCCTTCTATTGTGACCTTTGTTTTGTTGAAGAATTTGGCATGTTTGATAGTTTCTTTTGCTTTGATTTCCAAGTTATGTGGGTTCCGCCACTCAAAATAACTACACTTGGGACAACTAAAATAAAGTCTTACCAGATTTTGTGATGATTCAGATATCCTTATAATGGCTCGTTTTTCACATCTACACTTTCTATTTTTGAATTGCAACCATTGTCCATCAGATCCTCCATTGGATCCACTATTGCTTGAAGAATTCATTTTTTTTAGCTTAACAATTCACTGAAATACCAAATAATCAAGTATCAAAAATTAATTTAAAAACTAGAAAGATGTTAGACAATACCTTAGGCCTTGTGTGTGTGTGTGTGAGTGTGAGGAGAGAGAGAGAGCTTCAGCAGGTTGTCTTTCTCAAAACTGGGGATGGAGATAGTTTAAACATGTGGGTGCTATTTATATTGCTTATTCTAACAGTCAAATTAGTCCCAAGGTTCATATTTGGAGGTCCCAGCAAAGGTAAGGGCATTTTAGGAAATATAAATGGAGAATATTATGTCGTTATTCAATTTTGATGGGCCGTTCACGATGTTGGTTTTATGTGTTACACGCACACATAGTTGAAGGGTCCATGTGTAATTTCGTATACTTGAGGGGCCTTGTCTAATTTTTCCTATATATTAGGTGGCCAAGGCCAAGCGGGAATTATTAGGGCTTGACTAGTCCAACAAAATAGTCATTTGCTAAAATCCCACGTGAGATGACAAATGACTACAATTGACGTGGTATATCACCAATAATATCAAATCTTAATATAACCCTAATCTTGGAATTCCTTAAAGTTGTAGTCATTTGTCATCTCACTAAGAAATTATGATTAGTAATTTATGTGAGAAACATTTAAAGAACATGTAAGCCAGAATCATAACCTAGCTAAAACACAAGAATATTTATTGGTGTAATCACCCTATTGGTGACACATGTCCACTCTTCAACAGGCAAGGTTGAAGTCCCATTCTTGTAATAATATATATAAGGGTATTTTTGTAATTGATAAAATTCTCTAAATCACATGAATAAAGTTTGTTGAGGTTGAAGTCTAATTTTTTGAAGATTAAAGAAGCTTGAGCCAGTTGGCATTGAGATTACTTGAAGACTGAATTAAAGGTCTAAGAAAAGTTAAACTCATGGCAATCGTACACTAGTTAGGTTGGGTAAGTTGAACTAGATAACTTAGTTAATCATGATCTTAATTGACCAAATCATTTTAAAACTTACTTTATGTGATGCATAAGTACTTAGCCCTATGTTTCTTTCTGAATGCAAATTAAGGCTTAAGTATAGACTGCAATCAAACAATACCTTAGAAGGCTTGATCAAGTTCGCATAATTTCTAGTAGCTGGTGCTCATTTGGTACGAGATGTTCACTCCTGCGAGGCTTGCATTAACAAGTTCTCTTAGGGGAAAGGAATGTGAACCAACAAAGGCCGTAAAATTATCTTCATCTTCTTGAGAATAGAAGTCCTCACTTGAGGTAGACTCACTTTCACTCTCGCTCACTTTGACCTTCATTGTTCTCCTCTTATCTTTGGGCAATATTTCTTCTTCCTACTCAAGCATTCTGCAACCAAGTGTCCAAAACCTTGGCAAGAGAAAATGCAACTACAACCCTTTTTAGTCTATCCATTGTAGATCAGAACAAGGTGGCAATAGGTGCAGTAGGGGCTATCCCAGCTCTTATTGATTTGCTCTACCAGGGCACTCCAAGAGGAAAGAAAGATGCGCCTACTGCTATTTTTAACCTCTCAATATATCAAGGAAACAAGGTGAGGTCTTTAAGGTCCGGGATTGTGCCACCTTTGAAGAGATTTCTTAAGGATGCTGGGGTGGAATGATGGATGAGGCATTGGCCATTTTGCCTATACTTGCAAGCCATCAAGAAGGGAAAATAGCCATTGGTTAGGTTGAACCAATTCTAGTTCTGGTTGAGGTTATAAGAACTGGTTCACCACGCAACCGAGAGAATTTACAACTATACTATGGTCTCTCTATACAGGCGATGTACAATACTTGAAAATAGAAAGGGAGGTTGGAGTAGAAAAGGTATTGAAAGAATTGTCAAGAATGGCATAGATAGGGCCAAAAGAAAAGCAACAAGTGTTCTAGAGCTACTCCAAAGAGTTGATGCAGTCTGTATTCCATGATATTCAAGTGAAATGAAGGTTTTTTCCTAAATTCATTGAAATTACGAAGTTCAAGGTATGGTAGACCTTGGAAAGTTATGCAAGATAACTGTTATCTACCTGAAACATACGTGGTTATATAGTTGTATAATTTCAGTACAATATATCAAGTTGTTTTTGTACAAAAAATATTGAGGGAAGGAGGTGTCGTGTTTTCTTTCACGGATAGTTGATTATGAAACATTGGTATATTTGTTGCTCAGTTGAAGAGTGAGAAAGACCATCATTTTTTTCAACTTTCGAAGGAGGCAAGTAACTTTATGGTTGCCTTTTGTATCTAGGATGAGCTTTATTCTTTAGCATTCGATTCTTGTGTTACACACCTTTCTTTCTATCTTAAAGTCTTTAATATACTATTTTGTGTGTGTGTGCACATGCACTGGGGGTATTTAGGCATGGCCAACGACTCCCCTTGACTTTATTGTAGCATTTTGTGTGTGTGTTTGTTCAATCAATGCTAGCAAACCAGTACCAAAGAAGTATGGGACATCTTTTTTTGAACAAACACTAAATTATAACCTAATCTACCATAATTACCTCTTTTTTTTGATTAATTTTGCAATTAATATTGGAGAACACCTTAACAAGAACAAACCATCAAACTCATGAAGATTAGTGTAATGGATTTGTCATTTTTATGGATTAACAATCAACACTACCAAACCACTATGTATGATAATAGTGCTCAATCAATCCTATCAACCAACTCATAGTGTACTTATGTGCTATTGATTAATCATTTAAAGTACTATTTTATTCTATTTAATGATTGGTTAATTTCATATTATTTGTGATTAAATGTATTAGATTCATTTATTTTATAGGTTGATACTTGTTCTAGTTGTCTAATTTTTTTTGTAGGTAATTTGGTTGATTTAAAGTAATAATAAATAAACAAGTGAAACAAATATTAGAAGAAGAGTCACAGTTGATAAGGAGATATTTGATAAGGATTGAAGGGTCAAGTTTAAAATAAGAAAATTTGAAGATAAGGAAACAATTTAATCCTTATGAGAGTCCATATTAGTAGGAAGCTTATTTAGAGTTGGATTAGGAAAGTATTCTAGAAGATAAGGCTTTGATGCATCTTTAGTATTTTTGGTTCTAACGTTTTACTCTGATGTCCGATTGACACAATTTTTGTGGCGTTAGAAAGAAGACTTCAAGAGTTATAAAGTGTATTTCATGAAAATTCTGTGAATCGGCCATTAACTATACGAAACATGAGATCAAAGTTTGCACAAATATGGTATCGCATGGGGATGCGCCTCCAAGAATTGATCCATGATGTTTGACCTAAATGTATTTCTATTTTGGCAAAGATTTGTTCAAGGACAACCCTATCCTCCCTAGTATAAATATAAATTATTTCTTTTGAGAGATGGGGAATTCTAGATCCCATCTTCTATATCTTTCTTTATTTTTCATGTCTATAGATGTCTAAATCTTCAAAACTAAAGCTATGGGTGAATCTTTCAATGAAACAAGGTATTTATTTTTGATTCATTGTTCTTTAATGCATGATTTTTCTTATTGATTAATTTCTATGATTTAATAAAGTTTTTTCCCTGTAAAATCTCTTGATTCATTGTGCCACGTACATCGAATACTTTAGATTCCCTACTAGTCAAATAACTAATTTTGTGTGGTTGAATCAATTAATTGGAATTTTTATGAAAAATAATTGATTTATTGTTTGTGATAAAAAAATATGTTTTATTTGTTGGAGATCTTGATTCATCGTCGGGCACGTGAATGCTTGTGATGTACAATTAAATACTAATTTCTATCCAAATAATTTATCTATTATATTTTTGAATTTGTTTTCAATTAATATCACTCCTCTGCTGATTCTTAATTAAGTTCAAAAACTAGATTAGGAATAAATATTGAGTTGGAAGGGAATCTCTGATGCTTTAGTATCTCCAATTATTGTTTTAAACCAAACTTTCATTGCTTTTTGAAAACAAATTCAATCAAATTCATCAAAGCACTGTTTCTTTTATTTTTCTTGTGTCCCATGTTTTCACCAATTCCTTGTGGTTCCATCTTGGATTCCCGAGTATTTATTACTTTGCACAACCTGAATTTGGGTGATTAATTCTAAAATTGTAGTAAATTTTTTGAGCTATTGCCAGGTATTTGTTGGAAGAAAAGGAACACACAATCATTCATTGAGGTTTGCTAGGTTTGAGATTCATCACAAATTTGGCAATCTTGCTCCCTACTTTTTATTTACTGTCATTTTCTTTTTGTTCTCTACTTCTACCCCTTATTATTATTATTTTTTTAATTTTTAATGCGCTCATGGTTTCTCGACCCGAAAAGGCATTTTGTTAAAGTAGATTTAGATACTATTTTTTTGTAATTTGTTTGATTCTCGTGTCCACGCTCATACACTTAGCCCGATGGCTGATGATGGTATTAATCATAGGGAGATTGAATTCTAAAATAATTCACCCATGCTAACTTTGGGGAAAAAAAATGCTAACTTTGGGTGAATATTTACAACCCCCTCCCCATATTTCCCCTTCATGCATTATTTTCCCACTATAAGCCACTAATTTTACTTTTAAATTGGGTATGATTCCATTACTTCCAAGATTTTATGGCTTAGAATCGAACAACCCTTATTTGTAGTTAAGAGATTTTGACGAAGTTTGTGTTGCCTTTCATGACCAAACTTGCACTGAAGATGTGGTTAGGTTGAAACTTTTTCCTTTTTCTATCAAGGACAAAGCTAAGACTTGGTTTAATTCTTTGAGACCTAGGTCAATAGGCACATAGCAAGAGATGCAAAATGAGTTTTTGAAAAAGTTTTTTCCCAATACATAGGACTAATGCTTTGAAAAGGCAAATCATGAATTTTCTTTTAAAAAAAACAATGAAATATTTTATCAATATTAGGAACGTTTAAAAGATTTATTTAAATCTTGCGCACATCATGTCTACGAGATTTGGCGCACCATAGGCTTTTCTATGAAGGTTTACCTTTCCAAATGTGCCAATTCGTAGACATGATGTGCAATGGTGAATTGTTTAGATGAAGTATTCAAATATTTTGACCAAATAGCTGAGAATGTCCAATCTTGGGACACCACAACCTCTCCCGATTGCATATCTAAGGTTGAATCTTTTACTGCTTCATCTCGTGGAGGCAAGTATCACCCTAGGGAGGAGGATAACCTTAGTTCTGGGGTAGATATTTTGGCTAGAAAATTAGAAGTTATGGAATTGAGGAATGTCAATAAAATCAAATCCATCCAACATGAAAAGTTTGTAAAATTTGCAAGATCATGAGGCAGCCAAAACATGAATGTCCAACTATTTCAACTCTCAAAGAAGTGTTCCATGATCAAGAAAATAAAAATTACAATAATGCACCAACACCACCTCATCCTCCATGACCTTCTAATTTTATACCTTGTACACCACCATGTAGGGAGTCACTTGAGGAAACATTGCACACATTCATGCAACCACAAGTTGTCATCAATAATCAAACTGTGATGCCCCAAAATCCGGGGGGCCATTGATCACCCATCAACCCGCGGAATACCCGTAGATATCATGTAACTTGATATCACGCCATTATGCCTCATTTATCGGGATTCATAATTTAACGAAATTCGGGCAGAGTCTCCTTTGTACGGAGAGCTCTACCTAAAACACAACCTATGCACTATACAATCACACGACCCATCCGAGGTCTAATATACAACATTTATCACACCGAGTCCATTTATCCATATTCATATAACAACATTTAATCACATGACCCATCCGAGGTCCAATATACATCAATTCATACTCCCATATCATGATTTATGCATTAAACATAGTTAATACAAATTCAAAATTATAATTCTTTTACATACATTACATGCCCAAAACTAACTTTGCAAAAGTTAGTACAAAAAAAAAACTAAAACCACAAGTCGGCCTTTCTTCGTCATTGGGGACCTGAATGAGCACCGTCCAACGGTGTGTATCCCCCACCTAAAATTTTTTCCCATATAGGGTGAGTTACGCTCAATAGAGTATCTCCTACAGAGGCTACTCCTTAATCTAGATGCATATGAAATGTTCACAATGCAACCAATCAATAATTCAAAACATTCCAATCAAAAATATGCATCCAATGATAGGAATTCTATGTCATGCCATGAAATGAGATGAAACTCACTCATTCTCTTTAACCCGAGTCCTCACCGACTCCCACAACACAATGCAATGCACTTGTGCAATGAAATCGTCATTTGATGAAATTCCATCCAATGATTGTTTGAAATAAAAGTTATGTTTTTATAAAACCAAATTATTGATGGATGTTACCCATTGAATGGTTATTTTATAAAATAAAATATTGTGTCTTTGTTGGGCAACGAATTTTGGTATCACAACCGCCGGTTCCGTACACCATCACACTTTTTTGAAATTTCACCTCAGGGGAGTGTGTGAACCAAGTAGCCGGGTTTTGCACCCGATGGAGAATCTAGCCCTTCTTGCTATACCCAACACAAGTTTTTCATGCATGTAACCGTGCGACTCAGTCGGATCTTCAATCCAACTTTCCCGAGCCCACCCACCAAGCACCAAGTAGGTTGTTTGATTAAACCATGCAACCACACCCACACTCACGCCTCATGCTC